CAGATCTGCACCAGACACTAGAACGGAGAAGTAACAGTTCAAGGACACTGCCATCATAAGCTACATTTCTATTTACCCTGCCCAAAATATCAGCTGTTTTAGACACCCAAGAAAGCCTAGAAACTTGAAGAGGAGAAACAAGGCTGTTTTGGTATTCTGAAGCCGGTAAGGTTCCACTAGTCATGGGTCATGAAAGATTTTTACTTTTCCTCTGTTTCCAATCGCTTGCTTTAAATTACTTAGTTTGGGGATTTTGCAGTTGCTAAACTAAATATCACAAATAGAGAGAGGCTGCAACCTATGCAGAATAATTGATTTAAGAACAGGGCTTGGCAGGTTTCTTTTTTCCTTCATATTGGAGATGAAAAGAAGGAACACATTCTAGTAATCCCTGCTCATTTTCACAGCCATTCTTGCACCTGTAACTCAAATAATGAAGCCATTTGTTATTTATATTGCACTTTCCCCTCTATTCTAGATTTCTAACGATCTGACCCTGTTTTATGGCCCTGACAAAGCCCGAAACTAGTGTGGACTTCCAATAATTGAACGATATAGGGGAAAAATCTTTAGCTGGAATGAAGCAGATGTTAGCTTCATGCAGTCCCCTAACTTGATTATTCTTTGGACACATTAGACAAGCATTAGTGATTGATAATGATGCTAATTAACCCCTTTCCTTTCCCAAACAGCAAACCGACGCCAGCAGGATTCTGCAAACACCACACACAAAGTACGGCGTATATCAATATCTGTTCAAAGAGGATTGGTGACACAACATCGTCACCCAGTGCTCGACAAAAAGGCTCTCCCGCCAACACTGAACTGGCTCCAAATCCGCTCTAAGAGTTAACAGCTGCTCGCAGGGCAGGTAGCAGCGACACAGACCTTTGATTCAGAGAAGGTGCACGGGACAGAACCAGAGGCAGCATTTATGTTTTACGGTCCCGACCTTTCGCATTTGATTATTGAGGCGGTTTAAACCACTCTGCCCTTGCTAGCTGGGACCGGCTTCACGTCGCTTCCCATCAGAAGGGCGCTTGTTATTTTAGCTCCACTTTGCGAGCGCAAGGACTGACACTCTGGGAATCTGGTCTGGGCTGAAACATGCATGTACCAAGGAGGAGGGAAAGGGGAAGTGCACATTCTGGAATTTTAATGCGAGGCAGAAGACGAGTAAACAAACAAGGAGCTGATCGGATTATCCAGTCGAATTTATCATGGACAATAAAGAAATCGCCTCTAAATGTAAGGGTTTGGATAAATGAATACTCCTAGCAAGTGAATAAAATGTATTCAATTAACTAAAAACCTTGTGCACTTCTGAACTGAAGTGGAATCGACTGTAATTGATTTATTTGAAACCAGAGGTTAAGGACTGAATTAGCTAAGTACAACTGGGTATTTCAAGCCACTGACTTCTCAAATGTCAAATCCCTTCTATTTTAAATATTATTTCAGCTGCGGGGCATTGCTGTCCTGATGGCTGTTCCACCAGTTAAATCTCAAATTATATTAATATTCGATTTTTGGAGGGTGGGGTAAATTACGGTACAAAGAGGAGGGCTGTCCTTGTTCCCAGTGAAAGACCAGCAAGCTGTATTTCGGTTCACATGGAGGAATGAGCTTAGCGTGGCAGCGACGGTCGAGCATTCAGCCACCGCTCACCCTCATTTCAGCCAATCTAGGGGAAAAAATAACCGCAGATCTTTCTTTAGTGTATAAAAGCATGACCTAGAATTTCACTGCCACGCCTCGATCACAACATTAAGAACGCATCCAAAGAACACTGAAGTAATTAGCACGTTTTAGCAACTGCGTATTGGTCACAGCAGAAGAGGCTGAACCAAAGCTAGTCAGATTTCCATTATCGCCTGTAAAATCCTGCCTTAGAAATAATAGTAATAAAGAAATCCATGCAAGGTCATTTCATTTCATTTCTGTTTTCTGGTGGCTCGCTAATGCAGCAGGCAGAATACTTAAAAAATGCGCTCTCCTAGCATAAAGTAGCTAATTGTATCTTTAAAACGTTATTTGTTATGACCTTATAATGTTCTAGCATAAGAACTGCTTTATACATTGCCCAGCATAAAACGATTATATTGGGTACAGGTTTCAAAAAGTAACAAGCATCTGTAAATCCAGATATGAATGAATGGTATTTAATAAGATTGTTTTCGTTTAAAAATGAGTATTTATGTGCTGCTGTAGAAAGAGCAGCAATGTATTGCTGTTTATGAATGCTATTGTGCCTGAGGTTAGGATCCCACACACAATCTGAGATGCAGCCAAGAAAAACAGCCCTGATAGACAATGCTTCACTTCACCTGCTACAATACTGTGCATTTCATTTATGTCAAGAATATGTACAGTTAGGGTTCATTCACCTCATTATTTTGTTACATCTACTTTACAGTTAACCAGTCTCTCTTGGAAATAATAAATAACTGTTTTTAAAACAATTGCAGCTTTGCATTCCAAAGATCCACTTTCAATTTATAGGAAAAAAAATATTCACCATTTTTATAAACTGGCTGGCTCTCGAAAATAGAATTTAGACTCCACCAACTCTCTTTCTGCTTGGCAAGATTGATTTTACACTGCCTCCCCTAAGTAGATTACCAAAGCAAAATGAAACATCTTGGGCTTTATCTAATGCTTTGCTTCACCAGCCCTACCAAACGTCAAAATATATGAGCAAATGTTAATTCTCTTTGCAGCTTTTATTGTAAACATCTCCCTCTCAACCTCCTCAATTTTTTGCCTCAGCAAAAAGGAGAAAAAAAAAAAAAAAAAAAAAAAAAAAAGAGAGAAAAAGAAGCAGGGGGGGGGGGGAAAAGAAAAAAAAAAAAAAAAAAAAAAAAAAAGAGAGACAGAGAGTCAGCGAGGGGAGGAAAGAGAAAGAGAGAAAAATCAGCCACCACCACCAAAATATCATCAGCACTTAAAGGAGACCATCTCTGTAAAATGGCTTTACATTCTAAACTGCATTAGCCTCCCTTCCTATGACAGAATATAATCCAGCCCGAGCCCAACTTCACCTACCCCCTGGGCCAAGGAAAAAAGATTCAAAGTCTGAATTCTCACATGCTTTTTACAGCCCATCTTCAAGATGTACACTCCATTTTTTTTTTAAGCAAACTTCCCTATTTTACAACTGGTTTCCACAAGAAGAAACTTGAGATAAAAATTTCAGTCCCTTATAAACTGACACAACCATCTCAAAATGTCAATCTGTGCATTCCACTAAAACACGAACCATCAATCAGAAATAATCTGTTTCCTGCAAGATTTCACTACAGTTCACAACCGTGAGACGATTCTGTTGGCATCGACTACAGAGCTTTCCTTTTTTCTTGAGGGGGAGGGAGCACCCGGCTCTGATTCACCAGTACATAGTTTTCTTCATAGCATCTCATTTTCTGTATTTGCTCGGTAATGGTTCTTTTAAAAATGTCCTTCTCGAGATAATTTTTTTTTTTAATCTCTGCTCTCTGTTAGGACAACTACATGTACAAAATTTTATAGGCTTGTAATTCTGCACGCTATAGATAAACATAAATAAAAACCTAGAAGTCAACATAAATAAAATAAAACTTTATTTTTTAAATAAAATTATGTTTTGGTTAAAGAAAAGATAGTGTGTCATTTTGTTAGTAGTACAGACAATTTTTTATCCAAAAGAATACATTGTGCTTTATTGTGTCATTTGTCTGAATACAGACTCAGTGGAATATCTAAATGATACCCTGCTCTGAACTCCAACTTGAAAGTAAGTTTTTATTATACTTGAGGGAAACAATGGGTTCAGCTGCTTATTGCAAGGAGCAATTGTCAAGGGAGAGTTAAACTCAATTACTGTAACCATACTGAATAAAAAATACTGCCAAGAACAAAAATACGCCTGGGTAAAGACAGCCACTGAATAAAAAAATCAACATAAAGCGTATCAAATATTTATTTATCTGGGCAACAAAGGACTATGATACATTGACAGGCATGGAAACTACTGCCGGCACAACTCAATACAATACAACTATAACTGCTTCCAATATGGCCAGTGGAAATACAGGATACCAGGTGGTCCCGAATGTTTGAAGTTCTTTGGGGAAAAAAAAAAAAAAAAAGAAAGAAAAAAGGAGAAGAAAAACAAAAGAAAGGGAGAAAGAAAAAAAAAGGGGGGGGGGAAGAAAAGCTAAATCTTGTTTTAAAAGACAATATTAATTTATTGCTCTGATGGTGCTTTCAGGAGAAGGACAGTGGATGAAAATAATTTCTTTCATTTTCCACAACACATAAGGGTTGTAAAACCACTAACATGTTTAAAAACCTTGCCAGGGTCCAACATCACTTTATTTTATCTTCAATGAGAAACTAAATGTCATACTAATTATATATAAAAATTCATGGTTTTTTATTTGTTCAGCTGCTTCATTGTCGCCTTTAACATGCTACAACAGGGCTAAAAATGATGAATCCCAGAGAAAAACCCCCCAAAAACCTCTGATATCTAAATAAGTACCATGAACCACATGATGAACTAAGAGGGGAAGATTTAAAACCCACTAAACAAGAGGTAAACAAGATCACCAGATAAATAAAAAAAGGCTTAAAACAGACTCACCATATTTACAATTCCCATTAAATTACACATAAATAAATATATACATACATGAACACTGATTCCCTTATATAATAACCGTGAATCGTGTTGCAATAGAAAGTTCAAGTTGGTCGCTTTACCTTGGACAGGAAAAAGTTCTGCAACTGAAGATATGACATGGAACTGCTTGTGTTTTGTGTTCAAGTTTATTCACAATACTGATAAAATGTCATCAGTCCTTTTTGCCTTTTGTTTGTTTGCTGCTGTACTTTTTTCGCTCTTTTCTTCGTTTTAATATGGCTACAATCTTAACTGAAGTTTATGTAAGGGAAGGTGGTGATTCAGTCCAGTGAAGCTCATAGAATTTTATTATTTTTCTTTTTGGCTTTTTAAAAATTTTTTTAATATATTTTTTAGAAAAAAAAAGTCTTTTTTTTTTTCTTTTTCGTGTGTGTGTGTGATTTTTTTCCCTCCTTTTGTTTTATTTAAAAAAACAAGTTCAAAAACTCAAGACAGAACTTTTTTTTCATTGCTGGCTCCGTCCCCCTGTTCTGTTCTCTTAGGCTCCAAATTGGGGTAAAATGATGGTGGCAGCAAGGGAGAAGGGCAGGAGGCGCAAGTAAAGAGGGAGCAAATGGAAACGTGGATGCTGGGAGGGGGCAAGGGGAGAGGGCAGAGCAGTCCTGCAGAGTCAGAGAACAGGACTGGCAGAAGGACGCTCATTCTGTTGCTGTAGCCTGGGGTGCTGGGAGCAGGGGAGAGGGAGGAGGGAGATGAATGGATCGATGGGCTATGAGGGGGAAGGGAAGGGTGTAGGGGCAGAGGGGGGATCCTCACTTTCGGTGCTTCTCCTCTTTGTCGCTGCTTTTGGTGCTGTTGTCTGTGTGGCTGTTGGGGTTGTTGCTGAGGTACATTTTGTCCATGGCCTTGAGCGCCTCGGTGAGATAGTTCTGCAGGGCGGTGACGGCAGCGCACACCGCTGGGCTCCCGAAACCGTGTGAGATGAGGTTGAAGTGGGTCAGGCAGCTCTGGATGCCCGGCTCCAAAATGGGGTTGGGCCGCGAGTTCCCCAGGGGAGATCGGTCCTGAGCCAGCAGGTCGGTGAACTCTTTACAGATCTGTCTGTGGCACAAATGGAGCAGAGAGACAGAGGGAGGCAGGTGGGGAGGGAGAGGAAGAGAGAGGGAGAGAAATGAACCATCACTGGCAGCAGAGAACCCTGTGTGCGCTTCCTGCGAGGTTACACAAGCCCATGGACTGAGGGGGCTGCTGCCCCCGAGTGCACACGCGCTCCATCACCTCTCCTGCTCCTCTCGACACATCCTTCCCCCCAGTTCTCACACTTCCCCAGAACGCACAAACCTCTTCCCTTCACCTCGTACGCACATCACGCCCCGGCCCCAGCCGACACACGGACAAGGAGCAGGCACACAGACACACACACACACCTCCCACCTTCCCCCTTCCATCCCTGAATCGCAGACCCCAACACCCTCCCCACAAACACACATCCCTGCACAGCTGGGTTTTGGAGCAGACGTGCAGTTTAAAGTTCCCCAAAAAGATGGAAGGGAAGAGATGGGGTGCGATATTCAAAGGGAGGGTCAGGGATTTATCCAGATCTTGAAAGATCCTTTTTTTTGTTTGTTTTGAACTGGAGGGAGGCGCTGGCCTCTTCCTTAACAAGGCCAAAACACGCCTGTGTGTTGGGAAGAAAGAGTGAGGGCAGAGAGGGGAATCGAGGCTTTAAATTAGGGGATTCGGAAACATTTATATATGTACATTTATATCTCCAAATCCAAAGGGACCTTCCCACAGAGGGGAAGGCTGAAGCTAACTGGGGTCTGGACATTTCCTTACAGGGAGGTGGGAAGAGAGGATACAAGGGCACGGTGCAGAAGGTAGGTTATATCATCCACCCGCTGCACAAGTAGTTGGGGAAATAACACACCTTATAGCAAGAGAGCTCAGAGGCGTGTTGAAACAGTTTGTATTCTAAAACCCTGCATTAATGTCTTCCAGCCATAAAGCGGCTCCCATCTTCTGCCTGCGCCCTCTGGCACTGTGTCCTTTGGTGACACCTCCATTGGTAATTAAGGGCTACTAAACAACCCTTTTAATTTCCAGCAAACATATCAAAACAATCACTTTCTTTTCATGCACCACCTGGAAGTCTAGGCAGCCCCCACCAATGATTCACTCTGCTAGCATTTTAACTGCATACAGATTTGTCATTTAAAATATATTTTTAATATCCCCGTATTCACGAAGTAACAGAGCTGCTTAGGCAGAAAGAACCATTGCCAATTTTAATGAACTGAAATCAGTTTAATGTGCCAGTTTTATTTTACTGTCAATGGGAAGCCTTCCCCTTCTACCTAAATTGATAAGCTAAGTGAAAAGGCCTGGAAAATGTTTTGCTCTGAAGAATTACCGCTTTTTCTTTAACTAAACATCCACCCACAATTTTCACGACTTGCTTTCAAGGTAATCTGAACGAACTGACTTGACAGAAACCAAGCAGGGTTACAAGAGTTCTCCTATAGAAGGAGGGGCAAATACACCCCCTCACCATTTGAAAAACCATCAGCCACTGGCTAGATGTGGCAAACGCTCACAAATAAAAGCCCCAAACCCGGGTTTGTCGCCCTCCCCTCACTTCTAAGCAACATGCCAGAAAGGTAAAATGTCTTACTTTGTAGCTAGAAGCATGTTTTTTCTTGTGACTTGCTCGTTTGGATCGGAATGTTGTCGGTTGAGAAATTCAGCTACTGCTTTGGCAGGAAATTCTGTCTCACAAACGTACCCAAAATCTCTAGCTAGATGTACTGCTTCTCCTGAAAAGGGAGGCACGGGTGGGGATGGGAGGGAAACACACAGCTCATCAGTACACATCGCACAGAGGCAAAAATCCATTGGGGGAAGAAAAAAAAAAAAAGCACTATATTCTACTTGGGCTTTTCTTCTAAAAGGCTTGGACTTTTTTTCTGGGAAAAAGGTAAGGTAAGAAATGCTAATCGCGTCTTATCTTGCAGGAGTTTTCTTTGCTTCAGTTGAGAGCAATGCAAATGTGTATTTTCATTACAATGTTACAAGTGAAATCTCGCATAAGAATTTTTCAAAGTTTACATTGACTATCAGATACTTTTAGACAGGCAGGCTCCATCCACCTAGAACGTGTGCTTTGATTTACATATCCATATCTATACACAGCCATTTACCTACATTTAATTCACAGCTATTTGCTCTGGAAATGTTTGTTTGCCTCAGCCACTTCTCTATATTCTTTTGCAATGCATCAATGATTAATATTGATCATAATTACTCCTAGAGCTCTTCTAAATAAAACGCATTAAACAGCTAAGTGTTTAAAATTTAACTTGATCGCATATAATTATACGTTCACCCCCAAACGATTAACCATGAGAATTTTAGGGTCATTCCACTGAGTCTGTCTGTTTTGTTGATTTTCAAATCTTTGGTTTTAATTTCCTGAACCAGTTGGTTTTTACTGCAGGGCTTCCTGCCATTAGCTCTAGCTCCGGAAGAACGCATGCGCCAATTAGAGCTTCAAAGCCTCAGTCCAGTGAGCTTGTTTCCATAAAATGGAGCGGATCATAAACAATAACAGTACTCTAGAAACTGCCTCATCGCTACAGGACTCAAAGCCCCAGCAATGTTTATGCTATCATCCCCCCAAAATTAGCCACCATCGCTAAATTGTCTAGAGATTGGGCCTCTGGTTTTGTTTTGTTAAAAAAATCATTCTTTTAAAGCCTTTGTATGTGAAAGCCAAACAGAACAATAGATTACCATAAAACCTTCTCCATATTCATTAACATCACAAATAACGGTAAGCATCTACCAAATCTAGACTTTTTACAAGTTCTGGCCTTGTGATTTTTTTTACTACAGCCCATCTATGCAATTGCAAAGCCTTTTCAAGAACATCAAGACACAGTATCACACAGTACAAATATAGTGCAGTCACTAATCCCGATGTTTAAAAAAAATGAAGCCTGGCATTGCTCAGCGCTTCTTTCCCCAACCGTTTGAACATGAAACATTTCTCGCAGAATGCGAAGTGACAACAAAACAAAGCAACAAATTCCCTCCTACACAACAACAAAACTTAAGCTAAACCTGCGCAGCCTGGGCTGAACTTAAAAGCGCTTTGCAGACTGAACTGGTCTAAAATGTTGCCAAACCCATAAGCAAGGGGAAAGGAGGAGGATCTATTTAGTGGCCTTGGGCTTGCTTTTATGCCAGGCAGTCTGACACATTAATTGCTTCAAAAGTAAACGGCTGCAAACTTTTGAGCTTCCCAACTCCCGCTTCTGATAGCACAGGACATCCCAAGGTGTTAAAAGTAAGTTGCACCTTTCCTGGCCAGAGCAAAGTAGAGGAGAACGCTATAGGACATCCCAAGGTATTAAAAGTAAGTTGCACCTTTTCTGGCCAGAGCAAAGTAGAGGAGAACGCTATAGCCAAGGGAACACATGTTCTGAAAATGAGAACCAAAAGGGAGTGGGGGGGGTGGTGGTGCAACTTTGAGGCTTTCAGGACACCATTAATTCATGGCTGAGGTCAAGGATTCCCAAATTAATTCAGGAAGTAATGGTCACGCATTTCTCAAATGCAGATGTCAGAAAACTTAAGTGATTTACTGTTATGTGGCTGCGGGCTGGGAGGGAGAACAAACTTAAAGTAGCTCCAGTTTCTGACATTTCAAATTGCTTGGTTGTCCACCTGTGGCAGAAGGATGGCAGAAAAGCCTTAGAGGCTCTGTTTCCCGTAACTTCCAACTCAACACTTGGGGGTCACTTATGGGGCCAAGCCCACAGCCGCTGTTTGCAGGGATCCTTCCCATGCTGCTCCCAATGAGATCCGCTTACTCTGGGGAGGGATTACTCACTTGAACGAGGGAGCAAGATGGGGCCCTGAAAACATCTAGCTCGGAGACTTAAAAACCCTTCCAATTTCCAACAAGCAGCACTGTCTCAGAGGAGAAAAAAAAAAAAAACAACCCAACACCAAATCTTCTCCTGTTAGGCAAAAGCAACAGACACATTTTCCAAATGAGCCCTCCTGGCTCTTTGAGTCACTTACCCTCCACGAGCGACGTGAGCAAGGTAACATTAGCAGCTTTACGCCTCCCAGCTGGCAGGTTTAATCCTATTTTGTCCAGTTTCTCCCTCAGAGATCTCCCTCCGTTTTTAGACTTCGCCCTGCTCCGTACAAAAAAAAGGCATTGAGAAACGGGGCTGGTGGGGGGACACCTGCTCCTGCTTCGGCTCCCACCCACAGACCACCCCGACACATCGCCTTCCCACAGAGGGGAGAAA